TAGTTGGCCAATTAATTTCTTTCTATTTATAGTAGAGACGGGGTCTCGCTCTTGCTCAGGCTGGTTTTGAACTCCTGACCTTGAGCAATCCGCCCACCTTGGCCTCCCAGAGTGCTAGGATTACAGGTGTGAGCCACCAGGCAGTGCAGGGCCCCAGTAGGGCTTGTTTTAACTTTGTTGTTGTTGTTCATTAAATGAATCTCAAGATGCTGCCTGTGTAAGTGTTGTGAACCCAGGAAATATAAATAAGAAGGCAAACATCACGTCAACTCCACTACCCAGAAACGACCAGTGATATGTTCATGTATTGCCCCTTATAAACTGGTAGCATTTTATATGTGGTGTAAGGACGGCCTTGCTGAAATAGCAGGAAAATAATAATTTTCTAATAACAGCTAGAGATCAATCCTATGAGCTCTCTCTGCTGGCAGGCAACCTGCTGGGGCTCTGTGTTCACAAACTTCTGAAAAGAGCAGAGAGGGAATGTAAATCTTTCTCTTTACATTCACCAGCTCACAGCCTTTAAGTATTGTCCTCTTCATTAAAAGCTGTTCACAAACTTTGCAAGGGGTCTACCTTATTCTGTGTTATTGAGATCATATTGTGTAGATCACACTGTATCCTGGCATCTTCAAAGTCTCCAAAACGTTAGACTTTGCTCTCTCCTCACTTCTCATTATTTCCTTAGTTCCTAAAGGTGTATTGTTCACCTTTTTTCTTAATAATAGGTCAACAGATATTACCATTCATTTGGCAAGATTAAGTATTATTTGGATTTATTCTTGGAATGCTACTTTTTTTTTCCTATTTTTTATCCATATTGTGGCCTTGCTCTTGCTTAAACTGGTCTCAAACTCCTGACCTCAAGCAGTCCTCCACCCTCAGCCTCTGAAATTGCTAGGATTCTAGACTTGAGCCACTGAGCCTTGCCCCCAGGTAACTTTTGATACTCAGTTTAGAGAAGCACTAGTCTAAGGGGCTTGCCTTTAGGGCCCAATCACTACTAGTCTGTGATCCTGTTAAAGCGTTTAGACTTGTAGAAAATGGGTTGTAGTAGGGAGGGAAGGGCACATCTCAAATCATGGTTGGGATGTGGCAAAGTCATAACATGTAACCAAAATATTTGTACCTCTATAATGTCCTGAAACAATAATAATAATAATAAAAACCTACAAAGAATCCTTTCAAAATAAATTGGAAAGCATCTCTCTTTTACCATATCAGGAATTTCTTTGGAATTTGAATTTGGAAGCATTTGATGTTGGAAGAACTTGCCTACCTTATACACTTAATACTGTTTAAATTTAATCTGTATATATTAAATTTAATCCACGTATTTACCACTTCTTTTGCTTTTCCATCCTTCTTTCATCTCATACCTTCTTTCTTCCATCTGAGAAAACTTTGCTTCTCCCTAAAGTACCTCCTTAAGATTTTCTTTCTATTGTTGGTGAGGCAGTCAAGGTTCAACCAGAGAAGAATAACTAGTTCGAGATATTTCTACACACACACACATATGATTTATGTGTGTAGCTTACATGTGAAAGTGAACGGGCTTACATGATTGTGGAGGCTGCCTAACCAAGTCAATAAGGGAAAGGACAATCAGCGAAAATGAAAAACAAAAAAAGGAAAGACAAAGAAAAAAAGAAATGGGTTGGAAATAAATGGAGAACTATAGAAAAATGCCAGATGGGAGAACAGGTCCTTACATTGGTATATGTCCATGTAGACAGAATACAATGTGATATACATATCACAGTGTCCACTGAGAAAGACTCTCCCTTTGACCAACTTGGTCAGGGTGCCCTAAGCTGTTCTAGACTAGGAACTTGGCCTGCCTTCAGCAAGAATTATGGTTGGTAAATTTAATGATAGTCCCCCCAAACTTGATATGTGATACTTCATCAAATATCTATTAAAGTTTCTAATCCCCCAACAGTTATGTCTAAGGCCTGTCATTAGCAAGAATCTTGTTAGGTCTGTTGAGCAAGTACCTCCCTTTCCCCATACCCTTGATGTCTCTTCTTCATAATTTTCCATCCACTAAAATCCTTCGCTCTGGTTGTTGGCTACAAATCCCTACCTACCTTTGCCTTATTCAGAGTTAATCACAATCTCTTTCCTGTGTTGCAATAAAGTTCACCGGTTTGAAATAGAGTATTGAAAAATTATTTGTTGATACATAAAAATTGTTTGTATTAATAGTATACATGTTTTGATATATGTATACACTCGGAATAATTAAATCATGGTAATTAACATATTCATCACCATACATACCTATCATTTCTTTCTAGCAATAACAAAGTTCTCTGCTTGACCAAAATTTAGTCAGGCTTCTGAGCAGTCTCCTAGGCCCATTTCTCTACTACTTTATAAATTTCACTTTTATCAAAGAACCCTACTAAGTAAGTTTAGCAAGAACCCCTCATACTGGTATTTGATCACCTTGGATATGTGAACAGATTCATTACATTATCTAAACTTCTACAAAACACTTGCTTTTGATAAAGGTTGTGAACAATACACCTTTAGGAACTAAGGAAATAATGAGAAGTGAGAAGAGAGCAAAGTCTAACGTTTTGGAGACTTTGAAGATGCCAGGATACAGTGTGATCTACACAATATGATCTCAATAACACAGAATAAGGTAGACCCCTTGCAAAGTTTGTGAACAGCTTTTAATGAAGAGGACAATACTTAAAGGCTGTGAGCTGGTGAATGTAAAGAGAAAGATTTACATTCCCTCTCTGCTCTTTTCAGAAGTTTGTGAACACAGAGCCCCAGCAGGTTGCCTGCCAGCAGAGAGAGCTCATAGGATTGATCTCTAGCTGTTATTAGAAAATTATTATTTTCCTGCTATTTCAGCAAGGCCGTCCTTACACCACATATAAAATGCTACCAGTTTATAAGGGGCAATACATGAACATATCACTGGTCGTTTCTGGGTAGTGGAGTTGACGTGATGTTTGCCTTCTTATTTATATTTCCTGGGTTCACAACACTTACACAGGCAGCATCTTGAGATTCATTTAATGAACAACAACAACAAAGTTAAAACAAGCCCTACTGGGGCCCTGCACTGCCTGGTGGCTCACACCTGTAATCCTAGCACTCTGGGAGGCCAAGGTGGGCGGATTGCTCAAGGTCAGGAGTTCAAAACCAGCCTGAGCAAGAGCGAGACCCCGTCTCTACTATAAATAGAAAGAAATTAATTGGCCAACTAATATATATAGAAAAAATTAGCTGGGCACGGTGGCGCATGCCTGTAGTCCCAGCTACTCGGGAGGCTGAGGCAGGAGGATCGCTTGAGCCCAGGAGTTTGAGGTTGCTGTGAGCTAGGCTGATGCCATGGCACTCACTCTAGCCTGGGCAACAAAGTGACACTCTGTCTCAAAAAACAAAAAACAAACAAACAAAAAAAACCCCAAGCCCTACTGCAGATCTGGCACTAAGGCCAGGCAAACGTATATGCGAGAAAGTTTACAAAGCAGGCTAGTAAACCAAGACACTCCCATTTAGAAATAAATATTTCCTCCCGCTCTTCTGTCCTTCAGATTGGCACAGAGATTTACAGAAACAAAAAGTGGGAGCTACAAGGCAGCCCTAAAAGATCTGTGCCTCTGTAGGAAGGAATTTTTTTGACTCTGAAGAGTGCGATTTTTTCCAAACGCGAAGGGCGGGAGAAGAGCGGAGCTGTGCGCACTTGTGGCTCCACACTGCCACCAAGCGGCGAAAAGTTCACCGAGCGATGCACAAGTCCTAGGAAGACGTTCTCTTTGCGGCCCGATTTCCGCTCTTTAGACCCTCAGTAGTCCACTGAGGAACCTGAGCGAGACAAATAGGAGGGTAAAGCGACGGCATTGGGAGCAGAGAGACCACCGGGAAGCTAGTGGGGGAGGGTGCCCCGGAAGTCGATTTGCAACCCGGAGACGGGCGGTCTCCAGAAGTCCCGCCCTCGGAGCCATAGCAACGGCAGCAGGAAGTTCCCCTTGTTGAATCGTCCTTCCGGGGGCGGGAGCGCGATGGCTGACGGCCTGTAGCGTGGCCCTGTTTATCCGGGCCGTGCGGAATTCGGCCGGCTCCTTTGCGCTCACGGCCTGGGTTTATTTTGTGGGCGGTTTCTTCTGTTCCCCGTGGGAGCGGACATCACTGGGAGGAATGAGAGCGAGGAAGAGGAAGACATTAGTCCTTGGACCGTTTCTAAGAGTCATCTGGAGGAGGAATGCGAAGATGCACACGCTCAGTCCTGTCTGGGTATGTGCATTAGAGCTGCTGTACGGAATTCCCACCTGGCTGTGTTGTCTCTGCCTTGAAGCTGCTTGGTGGGAAGTTTCTCCCGTTCCTTTCCTTTGTGGGTCAGGGCCTGGGTGCCTGAGTGGGTGCAAGAGAAAGCCAGGCAGCCCTGGAACCCCTCCCTGAGGGCGTCATCCACCCAGCCATCCATACATCTGTTCATTCATGAAACAAATATCCCCTGAGCGAGCACCCATTGTGTAGGAGACACAGTTTTAGAGCCTGGGGACCCAAGGCACGTAAGGACGCAAGGGCCCTGTTCTCAGGGACCATCCATTCTAGTGGGTGGAGACAGACGATAAGCACGTTATCCACTTAGTTTCAGAGACTGATAAGTGATAATAAGAAAACAAAACGGGGTGATGTGACAAAGGAATTCGGTGTATGCTATACCCACTTAGACTTGGTGGCCAGATTTGGCTTCTTCCAGAAAGGACAGTTGCAGACATTAGGAATGGGCCTGCGTGGCTTTGATGACATTCGTAAGGGTAAAGGCTTCTTGTGGTTTTGCGTTGTCTCATGCCTTATTAACAGTGACTTATTTATCACAAAATGTAGATATGTTTGCTGCTTCCTTCCCTGCCCTTGCTCCTAGACTCTCAAAATTAGCATAAGAACAGAAAATTTTAATAGAAAGGCTTAGTGGGGTCAGGAAGCAACACCAGCACTAGAGCATGGACAATAAAAGCTGCTTGAGGTTAGGGCCTTGAGTGCTTAGGTTAAAGGCCTCTTTCCACTGAACTCCAAAGAGTCCAGAGGGGGTGGGAAAGCCAGGTTCCCTTCCTCCATGGCCTGACTTCCCTTCTGGCCTCCTTTTTCTCTGAGTCCCGGGATCTTACCCTTCCAGATTTTTAGGTCACGATCAGGCTTGGCTTTGCTGTAATGGAGGGACGTGTCACAGACAGTCCTGCAGTGCTATCAGTGGAAAGCCGGTGTAATTTTAATTTAAGAGTTTGGAATGGGCCCACGGTACAGTATTTCCTTCGTAGTTTTGGAGACTTCTAGAATTGGCACAAGTGACCAGGACAGTGATATTTGAAGGAATTCTGTGGCTAACCATGAAGGTAAAACCATGATGACAAAAGTATGATAAATTGAGTAGAAAATAAATACATACATATTCTGTGGTGGGCAGCAGTAGGATCCTCTCACTCGTCCCAAGTCTGGAGTAAAGAGGGAGGTTGAAAGGCTATACACCCATCACTAGGTGTGGTTCTCCTTTTGTACATATGGGCTGCACAATGAAGGGAAATCCAGAAAATAGGCTTCCAGAAAGAATGGCCACAAGAAGATCCAGGGTTTGACAGTCCAAGCTAATATTCCGGGGTGCTTGACCAAATGAGCTGAGAAAATTAGATCTGAGGCAAAAGACAAAGCAAGATGAATGGCCTGAGAAGGTGAGGGGTGGTAGGGACGGGGGCAGAGGTGAGGAGGGGGAGGGTGATGGAAGGCAGGGGACGGGGTGGTACTGGCAGGTGTGTTGGTAGGTTTCTGTAGTATAAGGTAAAGCCTGGAAAGAGTTCCTGATGTCCTGTTAGCAGGCACCTACCTACTTGCCTTGAGTTGGAATATCGAGGACACCCTACTGGTTTAGTCCAGGGCTAAAGTGTTTGCTGCTTCGTTGTGTTGGATGGGGGGCTGCAGTTGACTATGATGTTCAATTCTTTCTCCATCAGCACCTGCCTCCCGATACAAGCCATGGCAGGATTCCTCCTCTATTGTTCTGAATACTGAGATTTTGGATTATCTGTACTTCAGGTACATTATTTTGTGGAGAGAGTTCCCCGTAGACACACGGGAAAGAGGGGAGGTTAGAGGAGGATGCAATGTCTGCCGTGGTGTGTCTAGACTCATAGTAGTAATAATTGCCTACATCCATTCGGGATTTACTGTGTGCCAGGCCCGTGCCAAGGGGTTTCTCCGTATTCCCTGATCTAACCTTCACAGTAACACTGGAAGCAAAGGCTGTTACTTTAATTATTTCCAATTTACATATGAGGAAACCAAGGCTTAGATAGGTTCAGGGACTTACCTGGGATGAAACAAATGCAGCTGTGGTTTCAGTCCAGCTTTGTCTCTAGCCTAGTATTTCTGCAAGCGTGGTTTCCAGAACAGCCGCGTGGGCATCACCTGGGAGCTTGTTAGAAATGCAAATCCCAGACTTATGAGTCAGAAACACTGGGGTGGGGGCCCAGCCATCCGTGTTTTCACACACCTTTCAGGTGATTCTGATTCACACTCAAATTTGAGAACCACTGCTCTAGCCAATGCCCCAGCTCCTAACCAACCACCAGAGCTGAACTTTCCAAACTTTGCTGTGCTTACAAATCACATGCAGCGTCTGATTCATGGGCTGGGCTGGAGACCATACTTTTTGAGTACCAAGGCTCTATGCTCTCCCACACTTCTGTGTGTCTTAGGCGAGCAGAACTATTAAGTGAAGTTTTAGCCTCTTTAAAGTCCTGATTTCTGAGAGTGGACAGGCTATGGGATTCTTAATGGCCCTTGCTCTGTTTATTTTTTTCAAATACTTGCCAGAACATAGAGGTGATGAGGAGAGAAATCAGGTGCCAGGCCCCGTTACCTCCTCCTGAGTGTTGTTCCAGAGATGCTGAGTCCAGGCCGACTTAACTTGCAGGCTCTCTTTCTTGAGTGGACAGAGAGCTGAGGGGCAGTCTCAGAGTACTCTCTGCCTGAATGAGATGAGATGTGTGCTAACTGGTCGAGAGGAACAGCAACAGATGATCGCCTTAACTAATGTAAAATGCTTTTCTAAAATATTGGAGGGGATTGCTTTGTTGTGAACGAATTACCCAGATGATCTTATGACCAGACTACTGATTAATAAGGGTCATGTGCTTCTCCAAATGTGTGTGTAGGAGGTCTAGGAAATTTGTATTTGGAAAATGCCATATATTCTTGATTGGTAAACAAAATGCTATTAAACATCACATATTCATGGTTTCTGAGACATAGAGGACTGCTTGCTAGGAAGCTACCTGTTCGCTATGTAAGATGTTTGGGATGCATTTCTTGTATTTATGGCAAAGGAGGACAGGGAGCAAACAGGTTGTCTCTGATCGGTGGCTGGGGTGGAGATGGGGAACTGCTGTGTTGAATGTAGAGGGCACCGGGGCATCTCCGTGGCCCCTTTTACTTTCCTTAGCTTCATGGAGAAGGCACCGAGTAAGTTGTGCACCTAGAGCAGGTGGTATACCTGCAGGATGCCCTTATTTGGGCCAGACAATACAGGAGTGTGAGATGCCTTTCCTTAAATCCCCAGCCCTTCTGGCGGAAGCGCTTCTAAAATTATAGCTTCATAGGTTCCAGTGCCTTAAGGCCTCTGCAGATTCTGTGGGGCAGCCAGTATCCAAAAGTATATAGCTCTTGTAGCCGCCACCAGGATACAGCCCCCTAGTCGTCAGGTGTTAAAATTGTCCTCACTGGGGTTCAGTGGCTACAAGGATCTCTGCTTCTGGGGGCTTCTGATGGGAATGGTGGCTAGGAAGCACGGCACTGCACGGAGCTCAAGGAAGAGGGCAACTACAGGAAACTCCAGCTGGCCACTGCTGTGGCTCACAGCAGTGCAGACAGACAGAAGCATCTGTGTGATTCTCCCTGCCATGCCAGGAGCTGTAAGGGAGGGCTCAGAACTGTTGTGGAATGCCCAGCCTTCCTGGGGAATGAAACGCATGTGAAAGGGAGGCAGAGGATCTCCATCTAGTGGTGGAAGGAAAGAAGACACTGCCTGGAGTACTACCGCATTAGAGGCTGAGAGTAGAAGGAACAGAATCAGTGTGATCCTGGATGATAATCTCCCACCCATTGAGGAGCTGGTGGGCAAGGCTGCCCCTCCACCTGGGGACCCAGGTCCGGGCTTCAGTTTGGTTTAGGGGAGGAGGAGGAGTGGGAGGCGCTTTTCCAGGCTACTTTGCAGCCGCAACATTGACTACCTTGAGAAATTGGGCAGACAGTGAGTCAAATGGCCGTATCTCCTCCCTTGATTTTTTTTTCTTTGTTAGTTTCATACACTGTGCTTGGGGGTCTGCCTATAGCCCTTAGTTCAAGTGTATTTCAGGCAGTACCTCCACCCTCCTTGGCATCTAATTTGCTAGCAGCAAACCCACAGTAAGATTTCAGGGAGGCCCTGTCTGCAAGGTAAATCCATAATTATTTGTAAGTGTATACATATATGTGTGTGTGTATGCATATATAAGTGTGTGTGTATGTGTTTTTTTTTAAAATTTCCCCCAAGAGATTTTGTGTCTTTCTCCAGTTTAGAGGAAAGTTCTAGTTTGAGGAAAGGGTATAAGTTCCCACTGTCTGACCTACCTAGACAGATAGTAGTTAGAGGTTTCTTCCCTCCTCTGTATGTAGCATGACTCTTGGTCCCTTAATACTGGCTTCCGGGTCCAGAATGAAGTGCTCTATGTAGGAGCTGTACATGTCTGTAGAGCAGTTTGGACCAAGCAGGCCAGCACAGGGCTTTGAACCTTGTTCATAAGCCAGCCCCTACTCTTCTCCCATTGATAGTGGGGCTTATTGGGTTCCCTTTTGATCCTCTGACTGCCCTTTCTGGCCCGTCTCTCACTTTCAGATTTGGGTCAGATTACCTGATTGTGTGAGCCCTTTCTCTATAAGCAAAACTCAGAGTGCAGTTCTGCATAAGCTGGAAGTCCAGGTGGATTGTGTTCTGTTATGTGTTAGACCTATCTGTGCCTCTTCACTTCTCTCACTGAGACCTAGACGTGCCACCTTGTCCAGCAAGAGCAAACCGGTTTTCAGAAGCGAGAAGGCCAGCAAAAGCCACAGTTTTCTGACTGGATCATAAAGTATGACCATTATCTGATCTTGAGACAGCCAGTGCCTCTATCGATTTAAGCGAAAACATCATTCCACCAGGTTTTTAGCCCAAATCCTAAAACTACTCAATTCTCTCTCTCGTGCCACCATCCCTGCCT